GTCCTGGAACTCGCTATGTAGACCAGGCTGGCCTTGAACTCATAGAGATCCACCTGCCTTTGCCTCCCAAGCGCTGGGATTAAAGGCATGCACCACCATGCCGGGCAAATTTCAGGTAATTTTTAAAAGATGCCTGCAGAGGATAGAAGAGGCTGTCGGATCCCCTGGAACTGGAGTTATGGACAGTTGTTAGCTGCCATGTGGGTGCTGGGATTTGAACCCTGGTCTTCTGCAAGAACAGTCAGTGTTCTGAACCAAGGAGCCATCTCTCCAGCCCCATGAAAGGAAATTTTTTAAAAAGTTCCTCCTCCTCTTCTTCTGTTGGTGTTTCCAGATAGGCTCTCACATTGTGGCTCAGGCTGGCCTACAACTCAATATGTAGCCCAGGCTGGCCTCAAAGTGGCAATCTTTCTGCAGCAGCCTCCAGAGAAGTGTGATTACAAGTGTGAACCACCACCACACCTGGACTTGGAGCTCATATTTTTGATATGGTTTCAGATTCACCATTGCACCTAACTTTTAAGCTTGTTGTGGCTGGAGAAATGGCTCAGTGGTTAAGAGCATTTGCTGCTTTTGTTGAGGACCCACCTGCAACTCCAGTTCCAAGGGATTTGATGCCCTCCTCTGGCTTCTGTAAGCACGAGATACACAATTGGTGCACATGCATACATGGAACACAAAGACTCATACACATAAAAATAAATCTAGCCGGGTGTGGTGGCGCACACCTGTAGTCCCAGCACTCGGGAGGCAGAGGCAGGTGGATCTCTGTGAGTTCAAGGCCAGCCTGGTCTACATAGTGAGTTCCAGGACAGCTGGGGCTACAGGGAGACCCTGTTTCAAAAAGACAAAAACCAAAACAAAACAAAAAACAAGCTCCAGGCCAGCCAGGGATACATAGTGAGACTGGATTATTAAAAATAAAAAGAAAGAGAAGAAGAAAGAAAAGAAAGGAAAAGAAATTATTTGGAGGGCTGGAGAGATGGCTCAGTGATTAAAAGAGCACTGGCTGTTCTTTCAGAGGACCTGATTTTGGTTCCCAGAACCCACCCAATGGCTAATACCCATCTAAAACTCCAGTTCCAGGGGGGGGATCTAATGCCCTCTTCTGATCTTCAATGGGCATTGCACACACAGGTGTGCTCACATATATGTAGGCAAAACACTCATATACATAAAAAAAAAAAGAGGCTGGAGAGATGGCTCAGCGGTTCAGAACACTGGTTGTTCTTGAGAAGACCCCGGTTCGATCCCAGTACCCACATGGTAGCTAATAATTGTCCGTAACTACAGTTCCAGGGGATTTGATGGCCTCTTCTGTCCTCCTAGAGCATTGCATGACATGGGTACAGTTACCTACATGCAGGCAATATAATCATACACATTAAAAACATAAAAATAATAAAATATTTTTTAAAAATTACTAAAAGAATGCTGCTCTTCCAGAGGACCTGAGTTCAGTTCTCAGCATTCACCTCGGGGGGCTTCATAACAGCCTATAACTTCAGTTCCAGGGGATCTGATACTCTCTGTGGACTCTGGATACTGTACATGCAGAAATACACATGTACACTTAATTAAAAATAAGAGCAAATCTTCAAAGAAACCTTTAAAAAAAACTAGCACTTTTTAGTTAGGTTTGGTGATACACACCTGTAATTCTAGCACTCAAGAGGCTGAGGCAGGTGGATTCTGCATTTGAGGTCATCCTGAGCTACACAGAGAGTTCTACACCATCCTGGGCTAGATAACAAGACTTTATCCAATATGAAAAAAGGAGAGAGAAGCTAGAGAGACAGAGAGATAGGGAAGAGGATGAAACTACCATTTGCTGAATCAAAACAATAATACTCTTTATCAAAAGAGTATTCCGAGCTGGAAAGATGGCTCAAAGAGCACTGGCTGCTGGAGCAGAAGAGACATGGATTCAAGTTTCCGGCACCCACATGGCAGCTAACAACCATCAGTAACTCCAGTTCCTAGGGATCTGATGCCCTCTTCTGACCTCTGAGGACATTGCAGGCTGGTGCTGCACTTAGGTACACTTACATACATGGAGGCAAAACACTCATACACATAAAATAAATAAATGAATAAATACATTTAAAATAAGAGTATTTATAATTGTTGGCAAAGACTGAAAATACTCCTCCTCTGCTAGGCTGGATTTTTTTTTCTGTACCAAAACTATGGGGCACAAAGAAGAGAATGAGAAAGCAAATAAGAATCCAGCTGTTTCCTGTTAAGCTAGACATTAAAGAGATTTGCAAAACTGTAACATAATGTCATTCTACTTGCTATTTTTCAAAATATAGACCACAAAATATGTTAGTTTATTTATTGTTTTTATTTTATGTGTACACGTGTGCTTCCTGCATGTAGGTAAGTGTGCCTGTTTCGTGCAGTGCCCTCGGAGGACAGAAGAGGCTGTTGGATCCCCTGAAACGAGTTACAGACAGTTGTTAGCTGCCATGTGAGTGCTGGTATTTGAACCCGGGTCTTCTGCAGGAACAGTCAGTGTTATTAACCTCTGAGCCATCTCTCTAGCCCCCATAAAATATGTTAATATGGAATGGCTTATTTTAGCTTTTATTTCATAATTAAAAATATTTTATTATAATGCTGGGTGTGGTGGCACATGCCTTTAATCCCAGGACTTGGGAGGCAGAGGCAGGCAGATCTTATGTGAGTTCGAGGCCAGCCTGGTCTACATAGTGGGTTCCAAGCCAGCCCCACTACAGGGAGACCCTGCCTCAAAAAGATACATATATATATATAATTTTATGTGTATGAGTGTATTGCCTGCATGTATGCATGTATGTAAGTGCACCCATATCCTGCAATGCCTGAGGAGGTCAGAAGAGGGCATCAGATTCCCTGGAATTGGAGTTATGGATGGTTGTTAGATGTCATGTAGGTCCTGGGAATTGAACCTGGGTACTCTGCAAGTGTAGTCAGTGCTCTTAACTGTTGAACCATCTCTCCAGCCCCTATTATTTAATTTTAAGACATTTTACATTTATTTATTTATTTTTGGTCTTTTTTTTTTTTTTTTTTTGAGACAGGGTCTCCCTGTAGCCCAGCTGTCCTGGAACTCACTATGTAGACCAGGCTGGCCTCGAACTCACAGATATCCTCCTGCCTCTTCTCCCAAGTGCTGGGATTAAAGGCATGCACCACCACACCCGGCTTTATTTATTCTTATGTGTTACAAGTGTTTTGCCTGCATGTATGTAAGTATACCATATGCATGCAATGCCATGCAGAAGAGGGTGTCAGTTCCCTGAGAACTGAAGATACAATTGTGAGCTGCCATTGAGAACTGAACCCAGGTCCTCTACTTGAGCAGCAAGTACTCTTATATGCAGAGCTCTTTCCAGCTTCAGTTTCTCAATTTAAATTTCTGACCCAGTTACTATTATACATCAACAAAAACTCTTTATAGTTCTCAACAATTTTCAAGAGTTTATGTAAAAGGATCCCGAGACCAGCTTGGTATGGTGGCCCATGCCTTTCATTCCAGCACACAGGAGTCAGAAGCAGATGGATCTCTGTGAGATCAAGGCCAGCCTGGTCTATGTAGTGAGCTCCAGGCTAGCTGGGGCATGGTGGCACACGCCTTTAATCCCAGCACTCGGGAGGCAGAGGCAGGTGGATCTCTGTGAGTTCAAAGCCAGCCTGGTCTCCATAGCTAATCCAGGCCAGCTAGGGCTACAGGGAGACCCTGTCTCAAAAAGACAAAAAAGAGGAAAAAAAAAAAAAAGAAAAGAAAGAAAAAGAAAGGGGTCCTGAGACCAAAAAGTTTGATTATACTGCTTAGGAAAGAGAACTATCGTTGTACTGGTTCTACCTAGATTTAGGACAAGTTTAAGGCCACAGTCAGTGTAGTGCTGGGTATTGTACCCAGCTCATCTAACTCCACCATCTGTACTAGTGACCATGAGTTTTTCTCAAGTTTTTTTCACAACATTTACTTTTATGAATATGTGCATGTGTGTGTAACAAGAGTGGGTGGGTGCCAGCAGCTTCCCTGAAGCTGGAGTTACTGGCAGTCAGTGTGGGTGCTGGGAACTGAACTGAGGTCCTCTGGAAGAGTAGCAAGCACTCTTAACCACTGAGCTCTCTTTCCAACCTGTTAGGTTGGTTTTTTATTTTTTTATTTTTTTTTTTGAGACAGGGTGACTCATGTAGCCCAAGTTAGCCTCAAACTATGTGGATGTGGCTAGTCTCCAATTCCTGCTTCCACTCCGAAGTGCTGGTGTAAAATGACCCTTTATCAGGTTAAGGTACTTTGTGCTTTGAGGCAGGGTCTTACTCTGGCCCTGGTGGAACTCCCTATGTAGCTAATTTAACCTCTCAGGTGCTAAGATTGTAGGCGTCAGCCACTGCATCCGGCTTAAGAGGGATTTTGCTTATCACCAGAGTTCTCTGCATTTTTAATGGCTTTCTCCAGCGTACTAACTAGCTGCGTGATCCAGCTTTGGGAGTCACTGTGAATTGTCAACCGTCTTGTCTGGTTTTTGCTCTGACACTCTGTGGCTTTCCAAATCTAGGTCGGAGCGCTCTTGACTTTTCAGCTGCGGAACTGCAACCTCCGGGGTCTAAACGGTGACCCTCTCGGGATCTCAGTAAGGTTCCAGGAGTGTGGGTTTTCTTTCTAGGACATCCCCCCGCCACTGACGCCCGCAGCTTTCCAGGAATTCTAACACCCCGCTCACGCCTCTGCTCCGGCAGACCACCAAAGATGCTCCCTGAGCGCTGATTGGCACACCTGACGGCGGTGGGCGGGACGCGGTTTCTGATTGGACTTCTCCCCCTCCCTTCCATCTGCAGTGCAGTCGGGAAAGACTGGGATTCCAGCCCGGACCTGGGCGGGGCGGAGATTCTCCGCCAGCCTGCGGTCGCCACTGAGAGCTCGGGCCTGCAGGGGCGGGGCATCCTGGGCACTCGGGATTGGTCCGTTGGGAGCCACCTCCCGTCGTGCACCGCGCCGGGGCACAGCGGACTCACCCGGAAGGAGAAGCCGGCATTTGGGCTCTATGTTGGGGCACTTGTGGTGTCGCTGTGGAGAGCTCGAGCTGCTCTCAGGTAGGGGGCGTGGGCTTGAGTGGCCGAGGTGGCATTTGGATGGTGGCCTCGCTTGACAGTCTGGGGATGGGGCTGTCTCACCGCCCCGAGTGTACGTGAGGGCTGGCTGGGGATCCCAGAAAGGAATTCTGGCTTTTCAGCTCACTTTGAAAATATGTGCTATCTTTTCTTCCCGAGTTTAACCCGCAAAGAAGGACCATGGTCTGCTTCCTTTCTAGTTTGTTAGGAATGGAGGGGAGTGCCGGTAGTCAGAGTTTAGGGAAATCCCCCAAGCGGCTAGGAGTGGGAGGAAAGGGCAGGTATTTTTCGCAGACACAGGAGATTGTGGTCGCCCTTGTTACTTCCAGGTGAAAGGAGGAACAGATTGCTTGGTTGATATGACGTAGAGCTTTGTCGGGCAGGAGAACTTCCTCTAACATCTGTGGGTTTTTTGGAAGGAGAGGTTTTTGAGTTCTTCTTATATGCTGACATCCAGGGCTCAAGAATAATTAAGAAAGGGTGGGAGTCTCCATTATGCAGTCTTTTGTTAATAACTTGTCTCTTGAAGTAGGAGAGAAAATGAAGGGAAGGCCTTGAATTGCTACCAATTAAACTAGCAATTGCAAACTTGACAAGGAATCTACTTTGTGAACAGCAAATGCTCGGGTTCTTCTGGCTGTTGGTGCCTGGGAACATCTGGAGGAAGAGCTTCAGCTGTGATTGGAAAGGCCCAGGAAATGTAGTTAACAGTGTCAAGTCTAAGAGCCCTGGGAAGTCACTTGACTATCCTTTAGATGATGCACAGATCCATGTCCTAGATAGAGCTGATTAATAACTTCCTCTTCCTCCAAGGGTAGAAGTGAGCTTCATAGGAACTTGATGGAAAATAGAGGTGGTTAGCAATTGTTACTTGGAATCTAGGTTTTGCAATTGTCTAGTGTTTAGAGGAAAATTATAGCCAAAACTCTGAATGCCCTTAAAACTTAGAATTAAGCATTACAACATCCCAGAAGATTTGGAATTTAAAAAAAGCCAGTTTATGGTTGTGTCTGTGCATAATATTGGCCCCAAAATAAAGGAGGGAGGAAAACTTCTACACAGAGGTGCTGAAGGGCCCTACGAAACTGTCCTTGAGAGCAGAGTTATGAAGACCATTTAGTTAATGAATTATGGTCCTGAATTTGGCAGACCTTTCAAGTCAGAGATGTGGAAGCCCCACCGAGGGTCCTTTAGACTGTGCTTGCCTTGTTTTCATCTTTCCTAGTTTACTTCTATGAAAAGACACTTCGGAATATTTAATTCTCTGTTCCTATGCTGGTGGTTTAGCAAATGTCTGAAGAGGTTAAAAAAAAAATCCAAGGAGGTTAATTATTCATAGCAAGTCAGCTTTTTTTTTTTTGGTTACAGACCTTTGCCTGTTTACATCTGGACTGTTTTTCATTGGTTGTTGGGAAATTGAAATTTCCTACCTTTTAGTTCAGGGCCCCTTGGAGGTGGTGATTACATCAGATGAAAAATTAGATTGTCAGCAAGAATGCTGTTTATTAGGATATTGAAATCACAAAACCTTGGGTTTGCTCCACAGTGTAGCCCAATTTTGTCATCTGCCATGTAGCTTTGTCTCTGCATGCAATGTCTGTCTGTAGAGAGACCTTCTGCTATATTGGAAAGGATTGTGAAAGCTGTTTACTCTGCTAATTTCATGCTGTAAATGAGTTCTTCCTTCTTTTGAAACGTTAGCCTTGTGTTAGCAAAACATAAAATAGAAGGAAGCTCATTACACCCTCTTCGAATGGTAAGGCAGAACTAATAAGAGAATGTGTTCAAAATTAATTGTGGGACTGTTAAAAACGAGTGGGTGTGTGAATGGGCATGGAGGAGGAGAGGGAGAGCTTAGAGATAGCCTTGTTTTCCCAGGAGCCCACCCGGATCATTTGTTGGCAGTACATATTGGCTGAAGTCAGTTTTCATTTCAAGGTAAATTGGAAAGGGAAATTAAACCTTATTGTTCCGCTCTTAAGAGCGAGGAAGGGGTGGAGGCGGCAGCCAGGGTGGATGTTGTTGGAGTGGCTCTAGGAGTAACAAGATTAGTGCTGTATTTTAACAGAAGGTGACATCATGGGCCCCATTGGACTTGAGTAACCCTGTGCTACAACCTTCATGGTCCCCTTGTTGGAGTGGGCGATGTCACTATACTTGTAAATTACCACATTGGGGGAAATCAGGGGCTTAGGCTTTAATGAATCTTTACAAAGGAGCAGAATGCATCCTGAGTCGACCTGTGCAGCTGTGGGTTGCTTGGGCAGAGCTACAAACGGGATGGCATGTTGAGATTGGAAATGATTAGAGCTGTTTGCTTTAGTTCTAGAGAACTGATTCCATAAAGGATGGTGGCAACTGGGCAATTCACTCGGGTGCTCCCAGGAGCATTCCAGCTCCATGACTTTCCTGTCTGGTGGCGACTTTGGTTAGCCAGACAAAGAGATGCAAGAAGATTGCTATTTGTGGGGACTTGGTTGTCTCTATAAACAGCCAGGAGGGGGCGCTGCTAGGCTCATTTTCAAAGCTGTGGTCCATCAGGCTGCTGAGCCACAGTCCTCAGGCAAAACTTGTTATGAGTGAACCTGCCTTTCTGGCACCTACGACATACTCTGCATACCTCCAATATGTTCTAGAAGAGGTGGCTTTGTAGAAGATCTTAGAAGTAGTCTGAGAAGTGAACCAAATTCCCTAGGGCTTTTTAGCTTAACACTAACATGGGGTTTTTCCTTCCTCTTTTAAATTTTGCACAAGACCAAGGACAAAAGGAATAAAAAAAGTTACCTGGATTTCCCCCAAGGGATGTTTATTAAAACCTTGCATGGTTTTGCCCTCACAAAGCTTGATAAGGATAGAGCCATACTCTCTAACCATGATTGTCCCTGTGTCCTCTGTCCCTCTGCAGATGTTTTCTTCCAATGGGCTTTTGGTGTAGGATGTTGGAGAACCAAGAGCAGGAGGTAAGCAGGAACAGGTGGGCCAAAGTTGGAGGGCAACTTAGGAGGGGAGGAGACACAGATGCAGATTATTGCTCTGTGGTGGTTTTTCCATGGAAATACCCTTGGTGTTTCTGATGGGCTTAAAATAAAGTCAGAAGGAAATCAGTAGCAGGTGCATTTTCTGAGAAGTGAAGTTGCATTTTGACTAACTTTTCCATTGACTAGAATGTACTAGAATGTAAGCTTTTTTATTAGATTAATTTTGGGGGTTTAATTTCCATACATATATATCTTTTTTTTTTTTTTTTTTTTTTTGACACAGGGTCTATGTAGCCTTGGCTGGCCTATGTAGGGAGGCTGACCTTGAACTCATAGAGGCCCATTTACCTCTGCCTGAGTACCAGGATTAAAGGCAGGCACCATCTCCATCTATACTTTGTTCCTATTTGCCTACTCTCTTTCCCCATGCAGATTAAACTCAGGGTCTTGTGTGTGCTAGGCAAGGGCTCTACAACTGAGCCAAAACCCCCTACTTCTTTTTAAAATTTTCATTTAATTTAATTTATTTATTTTTTGCCTTTTTTTGAGGCAGGGTCTCCCTGTAGCCCTAGCTGGCCTGGTACTCGCTATGTAGATGGGGCTGGCCTCAAACTCACAGAGATCTGCCTGCCTCTTCCTCCCAAGTACTGGGATTAAAGGTGTGTGCCACCACCATGCCCAGCTATCTTTATTTTTTTTTGAGACGTGGTGTTACTTTGTAGTCTTGGTTGGGCTGGACCTTGGTGTGTGGACCAGGCTGGCCTTGAGCTTGGTGGCACTCCTCCTACTTCTTCCTCCTGAGTGCTGGGATTACAGACATGAGCTATCACATCTAGTCCTTTTCTTTGTATTTTGAGTCTAAGTTGCTCAGATAGGCCTTGAACTGTTGATCCTCCTGCTTTAGCCTCCCAAGTCATTGGGATTACAGGCCTGCACTACCAGGCAGTAAATATTGGTTGAATTGAATAGAAAGTAAAGTTGGTACTAAGTGGGAAACTCTGATAACTACTGTGTATCAGAGCTGTCTTGCTAGTCAGGCATGGTGCTTCATGCCTGTAATCTCTACATGTTCAAGGCAGTGGTGAGTCTATATAGTGAGTTCCAGGCCAGCTGGGCTATAAAGCCAAAAACAGCTTTCTTTCTGTGTGACTAAACTGACACCGAGGGAGTGTTTTTTGCCTGCAGGAGGTGATCACAGTGCGTGTTCAGGACCCCCGGGTGCAGAATGAGGGCTCCTGGAATTCTTATGTGGATTACAAGATATTTCTCCATGTGAGTGTGTCAAGCTTCTGTATTGGAGTCAAGTGCATGTGTTGAGGTAGAATTGATTTGTGGGTGTTCCCAACAGTCTAAGACAATAGACTTAGAAGAAAAGGAGGGTGGAGAGGAAAGAGGTATACCTGTGAATTGCTTTCAGGCTGTCTGGTGGGATGTTGGTCCAGTCTAGATCCTGGGGACCAAGGCCTGATGACTTGGCTCCTCAGTGAGAGTGATGGTGAGCTCAGGTGAACTTAGTCTTTTTTCACCTAAATTTTTTCATGTACTTTCCTGTAGACAAACAGCAAAGCCTTTACTGCCAAGACTTCCTGTGTGCGGCGCCGCTACCGTGAATTTGTGTGGTTGAGGAAGCAGCTACAGAGAAATGCAGGCTTGGTGTGAGTTTGCTCTTGTTGCCTTCTTGGTCTATGACAGACTCTTGGGGTGATTACATGGGAATTGGAGTTTATAGAGAAAAGAATTTACAATAGGCCAGACACTAAAGAAGTTAATGCCTTAAATCATGTGTTAAGTCAGTAAAAGAAAACCAGCATTCTCATGTGTAGTTAGTTATTTGACCTAGCAAAACCATATAAACATCATAAAATTATTTTTGAAACAGAGTCTCACTGTGTAGCCCAAGTTGGCCTTGAACTTACAGCCTTGTGTCAACATCTAGAAGCTAGGGTTATAGTGGGTCTCCACATACCTGGGTCAATTTTTTTTATTTATTTGCAACATGGTCTTATGTAGCCCAGGCTGACGTTGAACTGCTTATTCTCATGCCTCTATCTCTCAAGTGCTGGAATTACAGGTGTGTTCACCATGCCCAGCTCAACGATATCATTATTTGAGATGGGATCTAAGGTAGCCCAGGCTGCCCTCTAACTCAATATATAGCCAGGGATGTGAGAGTGACCTTAAATAGCTGATCCTTCCGCCTCCACCAGCCAAGTGCTAGGATTTCAGTTGTGTACCGCCAAGCCTGATTTTATGCAGTGCTAGGGATGTAACCCAGGGTGCTATGTACATGCCAGACAAACACTCTACCACTTAAGCTGGATCCTCAGCCCAATCAATGCTGTTGTTGTGTGTTTGGTTTTTGAGACAGAGTCTTGCTGTGTATCCCAGTGGCTTCAAACACTGTATTTTGTTTTAGCCTGACAGAGGAGATGATAAGCATATGACAACATGCCTAGCTTGGAGTAGTCTTAATTATCGTAAAAGGACCCAGTATTCCATGTTTTAAGTTTCTTCCTTTTTAAAGTAATAGAGCTGGGGGCTGGGAGATGGCTGTTAGAGTGCTTAGTGTGAAACATGAGGACCTGAGTTCAGATCCTTAGCACCTACATAAAAAGCCTGGCATGGGGTTAGTGATAGGAGGATCCTAAGGCCACATTGGCCAGCCAACCTAGCCAAATGGTTGAACTCCAGGTTCAGTGAGAGGTACAGTTTCAACAGATAAAGTGGAGCACGATTGAGGAAGGCACCCTATGTCAACCTCTGGCCTCCATGTATATGCATGTGCAGACACACACACACACACACACACACACACACACAGAGTAATAGAGCTGGGTATAGTGGAGCAGGTCTGTAGTCCCACCACCCTGGAAGCAGAAACAAGAGAATTACTGCAAGTTCAAGGCCAGCCAGGGCTACATAGAACATATCTCAAAAAGCAAAAGAGGAGGCTAGAGAGAGAGCTCAGCAGTTAGAGCACTGGCTGCTTATGCAGAGGACCCATCGGATTTGGTTCCCAGCACCCACATGGTGGCTAACAACGCTTTGTAACTTGAGTTCCAGGGGATATGTCACCTTCTTCTGGCCTCCGTGGGCATTGCACACATGGATACACTTATATACAATTACATACATATGAGGCAAAGCACTCATACACATGAAATACAAATAAATTAAAATGAAAAAAGCCGATTGTATTGATTGGGCTCTTTTCAGGGGACTCTGATCAGGGGCTGGGGTGATGTTTCATTTACCTTGGGTGTTAATTATGACTCCACAGGCCTGTACCTGAACTTCCTGGGAAGTCTGCTTTCTTTGGCAGCTCTGATGAGTTCATTGAGAAGCGACGACAGGGTCTACAGCACTTCCTAGAAAAGTGAGTGGACATGCTGGGTTAGCATTGACCACCATTGTGAAGGCAGGGCCACAGGACGATGCCAGGCAGAATGCAAATCCCTGTCCTGGTTATGCAGGCATGTTTGTGGTGGATTCCTTTCTTGAACCCTCCCATCTCCAGTGCTCCCTGAAGCCACAAGCCTGACTGGGATAGGGATGGAGAGAGCCACCTCAGGAGGGTGCTCCGTGTCATTCTCTTTGCTCTCCCAGGGTCCTGCAAAGCGTGGTCCTTCTGTCAGACAGCCAGCTGCACCTCTTCCTACAAAGCCAGCTCTCAGTGCCTGAGATTGAAGCCTGTGTTCAGGGCCAAAGCTCCATGACTGTGTCTGATGCCATTCTTTGCTATGCTATGTCAAACTGTGGCTGGGCCCAGGAAGAGAGGCAGAGTACTACTCACCTAGCTAAAGGAGACCAGCTTAACAGGTAACTGAAAAATCTCTTTGAGATACCTGGGGTTAGAGTAACCTGGGCCAGTGAGGTGTCCATGGTGCTGACACAGCATCATAGCCTCTTAGAGAAGCCTGCTTCTTGACTACATGGTTCTCCGTCTAAGTGAGGAGCTTGGGGTCCTGTTGAAACTCAAGGACAAAGAATGGGGGCATCCTTGGCTTTTTTTTTTTTTTTTTTGAGACAGAGTCTGTAGTCCACACTGGCTTGGCACTCACTGTATGCCAGGCTGGCCTCTTCAACTTTTGGCAGTCTTTCTGCCTTAGCCTCTGGAATGCTGGACATCACCATGCACAGCACTCTGTCAATTTTACAACATTTCTATTTATTTAATTTAATTTAATTAATTAATTAATTTACTTAATTTATTGTCTTTTTGAAGCAGGGTCTCCCTGTAGCCCCAGCTGTCCTGGAACTCACTATGTAGACCAGGCTGGCCTTGAACTCACAGAGATCCGCCTGCCTCTGCCTCCCAAGTGCTGGGACTACAGGCGTCCACCACCACGCCTGGCTCATTTCTATTTTTTTTTTAATTTTTATTTTTTTTTTGGTCTTTTTGAGACAGGGTCTCCCTGTAGCCCCAGCTGCCCTGGAACTCACTATGTAGATCAGGCTGGCCTTGAACTCACAGAGATCTGCCTGCCTCTGCCTCCTGAGTGCTGAGATTAAAGGTGTGCGCTACCACGCCCGGCTCTATTTATTTTTTATTTAAAAAAAAAATCAATTTTTGTGGTGCTGGGTGGAAATGGAACCCAGGGCCTTAACCATGTTAGGTATACACTCCACCACTGAACCACATCCTCAGCCCTTGGAACATGTTCCTGTTCTAAATAAAGAAACTCTACACCAGTGAGCAGTGGCTCTCCATTCCCACCTCATAGCTATAGTTTTGTTTATTCACCCGTGTCTTGTCTATTCATTTTTTTGGGGAGGGGGCGGTAGGTCAGCATCTCCATGTAGTCACAGCTGGCCTGGAACTTTCTCTGTAGACCAGGCTGGCTTCGAACTCACAGAGATCTGCCCAACTCTGCCTCCTGAATGCTGGGATTAAAGATGTTCAGCATCTTTTCTTTTTTATTTATCTATTCATATGCCTCTTTTCTTTTCCTCCCTCTTTTCTTCCCAGTTGCTGCTTTCTTCCACGATCAGGGAGGAGAGGCTCTCCTTCACCACCTCCCAATGAGGAGAAGGACCATTTAGAAGTGTGGGCTCCAGTGATTGACTCTGAGGGTCCGTCCTTGGAAGGCTCCATGCTGCCACCTGTGTCCTCACCATCACGATGTGATACTGCAAGACCTGATGAGGGACCCACTGTGCCCTAGCCTGTGAGGAGGGCTATAGGAGGGGCCCATGCTGTGCCTTTGGATCCTGGTTAACTAGACACAGTGTGGGAAAAGTGAGCTCTGCCCTGAGCTCTGGGTTCTCCTTTGAGGCAGTTGAGAGGATGCAGGTGTATGGAAGGTTGGGCTGCTTTTTTTCTCTACTCAGGTTTGCTGCCAAGAGGTTGGTTGTGCCTACACACCACATCTCCTCCATGGGAAGAAACACCACACTGGTGTTTGTAAGTTAAGCATAAGGCCCAGAGGCTGTTGGTTTTAAATAGAACCTGTCTTTACTTTCCCAGGAACTGAGTTTCTTCAGGTGTTTGTTTAGACTCTGGTGACTGGTTTAGGGGACCTTTATGTGCAGATTCTTAGCTGCTGTATCAAATACTGTCCCAACAAAATGCTTATGTGGTTGCATTGCCATCTTGGCGGACTTCGGCTTTAGCTGCAGCCCCTGGAGCACTATGGTTGTGGAAGGCTGGCCTCTTGCCTGCCTCCTTGTAAGGACAGGGTGATGAATTCCCTACCTCCTTGCTTCTCGGTGAACACTGGTGCTGTGAATCCTTTTGCTGGGGTTTCCAGCATCTGCCAACCTCAGCCCAGTTGAGTGGGGCCTGAGAGTTGCATGCAATTCAAGCCCATCCTTAGAGGGCTGTGGTCAGCCACAACCTAAGGGAAGGGAACAGTGTGGAGGCTTTGTTTGGGCTGAGGCAGTTGGGCTGCTCTCTTATAAAGCAGAGCTGGCAGCTCTTATTTCTGGTGCGAGCTCCTTTTTGATTCCTTTCTTTTCCCTCGGTTACAGCTCCCTGCCCCCAAGCCTTTTGCTGCCACCAGGTCCCTCTGCTGTGTCGCAGGGAGGCCGTTTGTTCAGTCCATTGGGGCACGAGGGCTTTATTTCTTCCTGGAAGACAGGGCTCTGGGGATGTAGATGAGGAACAACATGCCTTCCTTCAGACAATGAGGTGTTCTGCCCTCCTGCTGCCATACTTCCTCTCCGCTGAGAGCCAGAGCCGCAGGAGCAGAGCACCTGGGGTTGCAGGCCAGGGCTGTGTGTGTGTGCGCGCGTTGTGTAGTGTACCTGGGGTTGCAGGCCAGGGCTCTGTGTGTGTGTGTGTGTGTGTGTGTGTGTTGTGTAGTGTACCTGGGGTTGCAGGCCAGGGCTGTGTGTGTGTCCCCAGCTCCCCACTTCTTGCCCTCTGGTCATCCATTCTGTCTGTGGGCTCTTTTTCTACCAGCCTGAATAAAATGCAAGTATTTAAGACTGTTGTTGCAGTTTGTGTCCAACAAGCTGTAGCAGGGAAGGAGGAGTGAGGGCTGGTGGTAGTTACTTCATAAATCATGAATTTATCAGTGTGGAAATAATGATTCAGAACTGTTGCACCACAGCTCTCCTGCATTGTGTGTGCAGCTCAAGTTCACTACTGCAGGAAGGGTTTTCTTCCCAAGAGCCAAAATCTGGCTCACAGTTCTGGGCATGAACCTTGTTAGGTATAATTTACCTGACACTGCTTCCATCCTCACACCTAGGTGCCAGGTGCTGAAAGAGAAATAAAGTTTGTCAACATGCAGATGCAAAGCCCTGGCTGGTATTCATCCCTCTTCCCGCCCGCCTCCCCTGGGTCTCTCCTTTATATGATGCAGCAGAGCAAGGCGAGGCTAGAAAACCTACAGAGGCAAATCCAAAATGTCAAAAGAAGTTCATTTAAAAGGGGGGAATAAAACTCCATACACAACCCTCACAAAAACCCGACAGATGCTGGGCTAATGGCATCCGCTCTGCTGATTGGTGGGGATGGCTCATGAATATTAATGAGTCGAATGCTCCAAATGGTGCAGCTGTGAACCCAGCTGTGCCTGAAGCTCTCTGATCTCAAAACTTCCAGACAGGAGCTGGAGGTGGTCTGTGTCAATTCCCTACTCAGCCAAAAAACAGCAAGCTGGGTTGGCCTTCTTCTGTTTGCCCGCTCTCCTCCTGGAGTGGGTGCTCGGCAACTAGCTCTGCCAGCAGGCGCCGTTCAGACATGGATGTGATTTTTCGACTCCCAGCTTTTTTAATGATCCATTAGCAGCCGTGCATACAATAGCACCTCAGTTAATCTGAGGCCAGGCGCCTTCCCATCTCCGTCTTGTACTGTGTTGAGTATTGGCTGTAGAAGATGTCCTAAGAAGACAGCTTTTCTAATAACATGGGCCCGTGTACCAGAAAAACAGCAGAGAGACTTTTCTCTCCATCCATGTGGTGCCACAGGCCTCTTGCATGTTTTTCTGTCCCATGTGTGCTGAAGTCTAGCCACCACAGCTGGATCACCTCTGTGTGAAAGTTGCTAGCTATGGGGACTGGCTTGCTGAGTTGTAGAATGAAAGTGTTTTTTGATGTGAAGTTTGGGGCAGGTGTGGTACTTGCTTAAGTCACAGCTCCACTCATGGCCCAAGTCCAGGCATTTCCCTAACCTGAGTTGGGGTGGGAGCTAGTGAGGAATGGAGGGTTATTGGGTGGAAAAAGTGAGGGTGGGCAAGTTCTTATGTAAAAATAGCTTCACCTGCACCTTTTATTTGATTTCAGTAATCAGGGTAGGCAAGCATTACACTCAGTTTCTAGCTGAGGAAACTGAGTGACATTTAAAAAGCAGCTTTCAGCTGGGTATGGTGGCACACACCTGTAGTCCCAGCACTTGGGAGGCAGAGGCAGGCAGATCTCTGTGAGTTCAAGGCCAGCTTGGTCTACATAGTGAGTTCCAGGTCAGCTGGGGCTACAGGGAGACCCTGCTTCAAAAAGACCAAAACAAAACAAAAAAAGCCCTTAATGGTTGAACAGGAGCCAGAGGTGGTCTGTCATTTCTATATTTGGTAAGTCTGATGTTCATGTGAAGTAGCACAAAGGGTATTTAAAACATTAAAAAAAAAATCTTTAAAAATGTTTTTGAAAGAAACTTAACCACTATACTCAAAGGGGAAAAAAATCCCCTGCAGAGCTTTTCAGAGTTCTCAGAAACAGGAGCCCAGCTAGGCATGGTGACACACACCTGTAATCCCAGTGCTTGGGAGGCTGCAAGAGGATTGCTGTGACTTCAAGGCTGTGCTGCATAGAATGTTCCAGAACAGCTTGGGCAGTAGTGTGAGATGCTTGAACCACAAAACATCTTACACAGCCCTTCGTTTTCTGGCTGTTAAGGCCTTGGATCCCCAGCACTGTGTTCTAGATGCCTTCTAGAACTCTGGTAGCTTTGGTCAGGTGGCCATTGTGACAACAACATTAAGGTGGATAGTGTTAGCTTGTTTGTGAGTTTGCATACTGTAAGTCTTGCTGGATATTCTTAACATCCTGGGGGGCGGTGTAGACAGCCCAAAGGATGCAAGGCCTGTAACATGTAGAAATGGAATCAACAGCTCCTGGCTTGTCTCAACAAGGCTGCAGGAGTGTCAGATCAGAAGTCAGCTGGCTTCTGTGGGTTTTTGTAAGAGGAGCGCACAGCTGAGACACTGCTAAAGCCAGGCAGATAGATGCTGTGGCTCAAGATCACTTTCTTCAAGTGGGGGCTGTACTCCAAGCCTGAAGGCAGCCCTCTGCCAGAACAGAGTCACTTCTGTGGAAGCCATAGTCTGGTTCAAGGTAGCCTTTAGGCTGTGGACAAATGCCCCCTCCCTAGTCTCCTTAACCCACTGTACTTTCTTCCTGGAAGATTTCCTTGACTCATTTGGAAAGCCCCCACCCACCTCTGACATCCTCCACTTCTTCCTCCAGCTTTTCTTTAAGGAACTGTTTTGGAAATAGCTCTAAAGACCAAGTGTGTATTTGTTTTTCCAGCGGATGCCAATCCTGACATCTTAAGAGAAATCATTTCTTAGAGAAACAGTTTTGCCCTGGCTGCGACTAGATTTAGAGAGGGAAGACTGGGGACCTCAGATCTTAATGTACAATCAACACAACTTCTATGCTCGTTAGAGTGCTCCTGACTTAGCGAGCAGTGATTCAGGGCAGAGGACTCTATTTCCACAAGCAAAGGAAGAAACACCAGCACTTTACAGTGGTGAGAAGGGCCCTGATGATAAGTGAGAGAAGGTAAAGGGAGGGTGTGAGAGTTAAGAGAGCACTGGAAAGTTAAGGGTTTTTCCATGCGAGAGCAGGAACACAAGATGCTTCTGTAATCTTTGGATTATGGGAAGCCACCATACTTCATACACCAAAATTTCTTTTTCTGCCTGACCGTCAAGTTCTTCAGTCTTTAGCCAAGCTCTTTTTCTTCCCTACCATTGGCTCAAAGGGACTAGCTTATCAGTTCTTTTCATAAGTGCTCTAACCTGTGTGTCTTTGTGGTCAGTGGAGGAATCCTGGCCTACCAGCAGCCTGACTGGGGCCCTCCAGCAGACAGCCTAGAACTGTAGGAGCCGGAGGCAGTCTGTTGGAGGCACTGCAACTTGCCTGCTATAAGCTACAAGACTTAGATATATTCTACCAATTAGGGCACATCTGTTCGAAATGCTGAAAGGCAGGCACTGTCTCTTTAAGAGCCATCCCACTCCTCTCCTTGAGTGATGAGGGCTGAGAGCACAGGGGAGTCCAATGCTGATTAAACAGTCCTACTGCCGAGCTCTGTTAGAAAATTACTGTAATTATGATCTAGTCCCAGCAGAGGGATGAGTTCCAATCCTGCTAATAACCCTTCCAGGTGCCTCAGCTTCAGGGCCCAGGGGAGGCAGCACTGACAGGGCTCTGGCTGGCATCGTGGCTGGTACTGGCCCTCCTGTGTGGCCCACACCGGCATACAGCAAAGACACCACACCAGATCTTCATCCTGCCTGGACCTCCTGAGAGGGTGGTAGATTTTAGTTGGTTTTTCTTTGTTTTGTTTTTTGGTTCTTGACAGAGCTCCTGGGAGTCATTTTGTACAAGAAAACTTGCTCCTAAACTAATACAAAGGACCAAGAAAATCACAACCGCGAGATGGCAATCTGTTCTGACTCTCCCTCTTCTGTCGGGGGACTGCAGCCAGCACCCCCAAATGCAGTGTGCAGCACCAGTCTGACCCAGTTCAGTGAAATGCAAGGGAACCAGGGCCACAGGGTCCTTTCAGTGCACAGAAACACTTGTCATTTGCTTCTCGGACTCTGCCTCTTGCTCTGAAGTGGCATTGCATTTCATTTGGTATCAATCAAGTATTCCTATGCTGCCCTCTCCGAATTTCTGCCATGGAAGAGGGCTACAAGGCAGTAACCAAGGAGCTATAGACAACATGGACTTGCTGCTCTCTGAACTGTTGGGACAGCTGTAGTCATCTGGACGTCATTTTCCCAGTGCCAATCTGCAGCAGCACAGGTGAGCAGAGCTCAAGTTAGAGCAGGGCCTTTCCTGGATCCTCAGTCCCAAAGTGTGTGGAATTACATGCTTTTATCTTTCCAGCCCTGCTGTAAACTATTCCTGTCATTATTGTCTGGTGGCTAAATCAGAAACTTAGAAGGCAAGACTCAGTTCCAAGTATACCCCAAATGCTTAGGTATGGGGGTTCTCAAGCAGGGAGGATTTTACCTCCAGGGGACATTTGGCAGTGTCTGGAAACATTTTTGTTATATGTGGGTGAGGGACACGGGATGACAGCAATGACCGTGGTAGAGATGCTGCTGGATGTCCTATTAAGCCCTCAGCAAAATTTTCTCACCTATGTCTCGTAATCACAACACATAGGAGACTGAGGTAAGATGACTACTGTGAGTTTGAGGCCAACTTGGACTACACAGTGAATTCTAGTCTGGAGTACAGAGTAAAATCCTGTTTCAAACAAAAACAAGGGACTACAGCTCAGTTGGTAGACTGCTTGCCTAGTATGTGGGAAGCCGATCCCCTGCACTGCAGAAACTGGGTGTAGTGGCACATGCCTGTAACCTCAGCACTTGGGAGGTGAGGCAAGAGGATCAGAAATTCAGAGTCATTCTAAAAAACATAGGGAGTTTGATGTCAGCTTGGGTTACATGAGACCAATTTCAACAAAACAAAACCATTTTCTGACCCAACACATCAATGCTGAGGTCAGATACCCCTCTGCCACCCTGAACTTGGAGATGTTGAAGAAATGACCTCAAGTGCCCAGATATCAGGTGTCATATTAGTGACAACAGGCCCCGGGAGTGGTGGTATGTGGAATTCTCAGCACAGTGCCATTAGGTGGCTGATGGTGGGTGAGAGAAAAATGTCTGTAGCCTGTTTTCTGCTCTATGATGGGATAAAAGGTAGCCAGCTGCTCACCATCAGGTGGAGAATGTCTGCAGTGGAGCCAGATGTCCTCTTTGAGGACCAGTACTAGAAGCCTCTTGGAACACGCTCCCATCACGGGAGGCAAGGAAGTGTCATACTGTTGCCCAGTGCCTCAGAAATGCTTCCTTCAGCGGCACTCTGCCAGGTGGAAATGTGGAGGACTCTGATGGGACCCCAGGAGGGAACTGAACACACACAACTGCTGACATTGAGCCAGCCCCACAACAGTTCCACGCCAGAGATACCAGGCCTCTCAGAACAGCCTGGGCATCAGGAAAAGGAAGCCTAGTTGGCAGGTTTGCCTAGAAGCCAGGCCTGCAG